AATAAAAGCAAATAACGCTAATAACAGAGCATATTAAACACCATGAAATACTGTTATGTCCTTTACACAGATTTCCACTCACGACTGGAACAGCCCATGAAATGAGTACTATTATTCTCATCTTACAAAAAAGTAAGGCTTAGACAGGTTAAGCATCCCCCCAAATTACACAGTTGAGGCCAAGATTCAACCAAGGCACCTGACCTCTGTCTAGCCCACTCTCTTAACCACTACAAAGGAGCTGGTGACAAGAGTGGCTATAGGGAAGGGAGAGTGGATAAAGAAACAGAAGTGTCACAAATATGCTTCCTAGGCATCTGGCTTGTATGACACACTGAACAGCTAGCTGTTTGGGAACATCGCATGAAGACCTGGCTTGAGGTGCAAGAGCATGACTTATTTTTTTGGACAAAATGAGGTGGGATGGTAACGGAAGAATGTAGTACAAAATCTGGACTGGATCTCAGGAGCGGTATAAACATTCACAAGTCATCTGAATACAGGTGGTAGTTGAAGCCAGGATGTAAGAAAGAGAACACAGAATGGAAAACGAAGGCTTAGGATGGTGCCTAGGACTCCTATGGTACTGTCCAGGGAAAGGAGAATCTTCTACATGGCAACACATGGGCCCTCAAGAGAAGGAAGAGAAAACTTAAGAGTTCTGTATCCCGGAACCAAGGAGGAAGCACAAGGGAAGAGAATGCTTCAAAAAGGAGAGTGTCAATACCCTGCCCTGGGGCTGGAAGATCAGAAAAGATGAAACATGAAAGGAGTCCATTGATTCATTAATCTCCACGAGATCTACGGAACTGATGTAGGCTCGCTCCAAAGTTAATAGGAGGTCGGAGATAGAGCAATGTTTTTCTGTTGTTATTTCTAATGAAACTTGAGCACATTTAAAAACCTGCTGGGAAAGATCCAGAAGATCCCTGCCGTCAATTGATCTAATTCTCCACTTCAGTTTTATGTCTGAGGCTCCTTAGAGAGGAGAAAGGAAGCCAATACCCCCGAGACGCAGCAAAACTAAATCTCTGATAGTTACTTTTGGGCCAAGTGCCAACGCCTTGGGTCAAAGGATTCCAAGCGCTGTAATCCGAAGAATGCCTGGATCAGGAGAAATCTTCCGAGGAGGGGGGCGGGGGGAGCAGGCGGAAGCTAGGGCGAGGCCTAGAGCATGCAGTCAGAACTCGAGCCCCGGCCAAAGCCGCTAGGCAGAAGGTGCCTGGGGCAAGCTATCCTTCGGCCCCGGCCCTCGCGGCCGCTGGAGGGACACAGGCGTTTGGGGTATCCTCCTCTGGGCCGGACCCTGCTCCCCGACCCCAGTCCCTGTTCCATCAGCCTGGCGCGGCGAGGACGATCCCCCCCAGCCGAGGCCGCACCCTCGTCCCGGGCTCCGCCGGGCGGTCGACCCCGGCGGGATGGAGGATGCGCCTGCCAGCTGCGGGACCCACCCCAGGCGCTGCCCGTCGCCATCGGCTCTGGAGAGCAGCAAAGCCAGGCAGCTGGCTGAACTAGACCTCTGGCCCCCGCCCTCCTACAGCAGCTCACCATTTTCCTTCCGGCCGTCCGCAGCCCGTCACCTCCTCTTCGGTCCCTTTAAGAATGGTACTGCGGTCGCCTCCCTTCCGGCCTTGGCGCCCAGCTGAGCCGCCCCAGCCTATCAGCGAGGCCGCGACCGGCACGTGACCGAGGACGGCAGGAGGCGCGGCTCAAATCCAGCCGAAACGCGAGCGCCCGCCTCTCCCCCTTTGCCTTCTGTGGGTGCAAGTAGCGCATGCTGCGGATGAGCTCGCAGTCATAGATTCACCCCAAAAGGTGGAGTATTGGAGAACCTGAAGAGACTGGAGTTCCTTCCTTCCCTCTCTCTCCCTAGCCTGTCCCTCCTCCTCCCCGTGAACGGGAGCGGTGTCTCAGTTTTCCTGTTTTTCCTCCTTCCGGCCAGCTGGAATATAGACATGGCTAGGGAGGTGGAGCAGTCATTTTAAATTACGAAGTGATCTTAGGAATGGGGGCCCAATACAGTGGAGGAAAACAGGTGTCTCGGTCCCTTGTACAGTGTGACATCATGCTATCCCTGCATTACCTACCTCAGGACTCTCAGCTGAGAGAAATACACTTTTATCTGAATTAACGTACTATTATTGGGTTTTTGTCACATATAAAACCATTTCCAATTAATAATCCACTTTTCTGCAAGTCGTCCTCACTATCCTGGGCAGTATTTTCTCCTTGGCTTTTTGGCAGAATCTAGTTAACTTGTATCTCCGTATTTCCGTGCATCCACTTGAGCATCTTTTCAATCAGTTTCCTATGCAATGAAGTGATGGACTACAAATGCAAACGGATTGTTGCCCCTACCCCCTTTAAGCAGATCAGTGGGTTTTTCGTTGCTTGTAGGGTAAATTTAAGTAGTTAAAATGACTAGACTCCTGTACAGTCTGGGCCATCAGCTCATAGTTTAATTCTCCATCAGCCACATTGGCCTTTCAATTTTTCAAATATGCTGTGATTTCTGCTACTTCAGCGACTTTATATGTTTGTAGCTTGTGTCCTGGATGCCTGTTCTCTTTGGTCTCTTTGGTAATCCTCTCCATCAAAGCTCATTTTAACCATCTGGCCATAGGGGGAATTTCCCGGATGTACCTTATATTCCTCCATTACCTTATGACGAGTTCTCGTATTTTTACATACCTCTCTTAAATAGCACTTAGAATTTTGTTCAGAGCTGTTTGGTTAACCTTTCTCTTTTGCAGTAGATGATTAATGCCATAAGAAAAGGGAAGGTGTCATTTTTATTGTTTTTCTGATTCTTTTACCATGTCTAGCACATGGCAAACACTAAATAATTTTTAAATGAGATACGTGAGGAAGTCGAGTCATGGAAGAGTAGATATGCCAAACAATGACCTTGCAGACTTTGTCCTTAAAGAAACACCACATGGCAACCCAAGATTTTCAGCAGTAGAATAAAATGTGTGCTTTTCTGCTTCAGTCTGCTGTCGAGGGCATGCTCTCGTCTTCTAACCTAACCATGTCTTCTCACAAGACTTTCAGAATCAAACGATTCCTGGCCAGGAAGCAAAAGCAGAATCACCCCATTCCTCAGTGGATTCGTGTGAGGACTGATAATAAAATCCGGTACAACTCCAAGAGGAGACACTGGAGGAGGCCCAAGCTAGGACTGTGAGGCAAACGAGCTGCCCCACATTTACCCTGTGGGAGGTCACAAGACGGTGTCCTCTTTTAATCATGGTCAAGACAATACAGAATAAAGTTTTAAAAATAAAAGAATAAAATATGTGCTATAGAAAAGTCAGTCTTGCCAGCACTGTAAAGAACACACGAAGAAAATCTGTTAGAAGGAGAGACACAAGTTTCATTGGCTGTGGTAGAAACTCATGTGGGAAATAAGGGTTGGGGGTAAGTTTGTGTTCCTGTTGTAGAAAATTCCTCAGTATAAACTTGGATCTCAGTTTTCTTTATTGCTGGCTTATGAATTATCTTATTTTCATCTTCTCATATATCATTGCTATGATTTTATTTCCTGTGATTCATTATTTTTATTTACACTTCGAGTCTCCACCATAGTTTTAGGGGAGTTTAGGGAGGGAGTGAAATTAGATACTTAATGTCAATTTACTTTCTACATTTTTGTTTTGTGATGAATATTCCTTATTGTTTTATTGCAATAAAATTGGCTTTCAGCTTTACCAAGATTTTTGTGAATTAACTATGAAATAATAGCTAAAACTGGCTTAAGGGGTAGCACTACAAATAGTATATTTCTGGATGCCCCCATTTCTCTAAAATCTTACAAATGTACATAGTTTTTAAATGAAAGTCACACCTCTAATAACTGATTCTAAAGAAATACTTTAGTTTTAAGAATGCTCATTGTAGCTTTGTGCATAATAATGAAACAGTTTTCAACAATGGAGAGTGGACTAAACTATGCTTTCATAAATCAGGTATATAATAATTAGAAGTTAATTACAATTACATTGTAGAAGCAAGCTTCTCAAAGAGTGCTACTCCAGAGAAGGCTTAATCATTTCCCAAGGGTACATGAGGCCGTAAGACAAACTTAGCTGTTTCCAGCATGCGTATTGCCCGTGATTTCTCATACCCATGGTCATTCTCCCTTTCTGCACCAGTAACAAAATCCTGATTTTGTAATGTGGGGGTTACTGCTCAGAATGCTACCACAGTTTCCCCTTCTCTGCTGTACCTCGGATGTTTTAGGATTAAATGCAAACCAAAAAGATAAGTGTTGGGAGAGACTTCAGGGAGGCAAGATGAGGCCGCCTCGCTACTTCTGCACTTAAAAGTCTTCTCCGTTAAATTTTTAAACAATTATTGGTAAAAACGAATATTAATATTAAAAAGTCTGGCCAATTCCGAGTCAAGGAGAGTTGAAGGAGAAGAGGGGGTGTGGAAGGAACACGATTGTTTTACCTTTAAGAGTCTTAGTTACACGATGCTAATTGTCCTTTATGATTAAGGCCAATCGGAAAAGGCTGGCAAGACTTGTAAGAATTGCTGTGGCAGAGGCTTCTTTTTAGTTTTTACTGTGCCTGCTTACGTGTCTTCCACACTCTCGAGGTCAAATGTGAGGGTATTTCCCTTTGATGTCGCTCCCCCCGTCCCCGCTTTTTTTTAAGTTAGCCTAGGATCTCACATTCAGGGGTTCAAGATTCCTAAATTATGCACATGAATTAAGCCTCTCTTAGGCATCAGAAAACGAACATTTACCTAATTTGGACAGATTCTGTGCCAATTCCGATTTAGACTTTGTAGGTAGAGCAGCAGCGATGACCATGGGCCAGACTGAGGCGCTCGCAGGCAACCAATCCCGGTAGCGGGGGGCGGTGCTAAAAGGGACCCCGCCCCCCTCGGAGCCAATACCTTGAGACCGGCTCGAAGAAGGCGTGGCCCGCCTGGCTGGTGATGCTGTGATTGGCTCGCTGGTTCCCACTGCCGGAGCAGATCCCGACTTCTAGCTCCCGGTCCCCCTGGGCAAGCCAGACCTTCAAAGTTTGTCCGCTCCGCAGCCCCGTAGAGGTTTTGACCCCCGGCCTGGGGTGGATTGAGCTGGGTAGGGCGAGGCGGCGGGAGCCGGGCTCAGCCTCGGCGACCCCCATGGCTGCGGTGTTTCTGGTGACGCTCTATGAATACTCGCCCCTGTTTTACATCGCGGTGGTCTTCACCTGCTTCATCGTGACCACCGGCCTGGTACTGGGATGGTGAGTGTCCCAGGGCTGGGAGCAGGGGACGCAGGGGCAGGCACTCGGAGACTGGGAGAGGCGCCGCGGGCAGCCCGAGGCCATCGGGGTCGGTGCGGGACCCTGCTGGCCCGGCTGCTCGGCGCCGGCACCCGCGGCACTGGCTCCGGTACTGTGGCAGCTTTGTTTCTAGGCGACACTGCAGCTAAGGAGTCCCAGGACTTGGTGTTGGGATAAAGTCCTGGTCCGGTAGGCTTTGTCCCCGCTCGGGGCCTCCTGCGTGCGGGGCAGGCAGCGCTCGCCGTAAACACGGCTGGTAAGGTTGTTTATGACCTGAATTGGAAACTTGGCCACAGGTAATCCAGCGGAATTGACAGCTGACTTTGCTCCCTTTGAGCATTTAGTGGTTTCTAGCTTCATTGTATGCTTTCTGAATTAGTATCTAGCCAGGGCAGCTGTGAAAATCCAAACTGTGGAGCTGGACGAGATCTTCGAATTAAGTTGCCCTGTGGGGTGGAGGCAGAGTGCCAGTGAGGGGTGAGGAGAATAGATTTGGACCGCCACGGAGCAGTTCTTTGGCTCGGGGAGGCTACAGTTTCTGTTATGGAGAGAGGACACTTGTATTATGTAGGGAAGCTTCCTAAATACACTCTGATCAAAATCATCCTACCAGCCCACAACCGTTTTCTGGCCTTTGTAACCCCTTTAAAAGATGGGGTTCAAAATGTGCCAAACAGCTTTCCTAAGTAGGTGACAAGCCATGGCCGGAAGCAGGTATGAGAGGCTCCCACTGAAAAGAAAGACCGGAGCTGTATTTTGGAGGATGAATATTCTGAAGAAGAGTTGACTGTAGACAGTGAAAAAGAAAAGGCATTTTAGAGAAGGCGTGAGCGGAGGATGTGTTAGTAACTAAAGCAGACTTTGTAAAACAAGTGCAGAAATCTCTTTTAATCGCGTATTTGCCATTATTTTAAAATAGTAACTAAATTTTCGCGCTTGCACACTGCTCCCCACCCTGCCAGTGGGTGAGCACAAATTTGCAGCGTGGGGGAGGATAAAGAGCAGTGGACACGTTTTGTTATTCTTGACCCATTAGGTTTTAATGCTGTTACTCATTAAAGAAAGTTTGTAATGGGAATTAGGAAGGTGTCAAATGAGAAAAGCAGTCTTAACCCAAGATTTTAAAATGACTGTACTGTTGGTGTTACTCTCCTAAAGCAACATAATTTTTCTCCATAAAAAATCATTACCTTGTTGATAATTACATTCTGTGGTTGCATTCTTACTTTAAATAGGCTAGGTAATTAGATATCTTAGACATTAGTATTTAGCATAAGAAAATTAATGAAATCCAGATGGATAATGACTCTGGCATCAGTGTTGAAGGGAGTCAGGAACCTCATGTTTGTACTGGTTCTGGTGGACTCGCACAGATCCTGGTTCTGCCTCGGTTTCAACGTTTAATACTAATTAGTTAATCACTTTTAAAGGGTGGAAGCTCAGGTAATTTTCTTTCTTTCTTTTTCTTTTTCTTTTTTTTTTTTTGGTGGAACTGGGAATTGAACTTGGGCCCTTGTGCTTGCCAGGCAAGCAAGTGCTTATTCTACTGAGCCATCTCCCCTGCCCCATCAGGTAATTTTCAAAGTTCTGGGAATCTGGATTAGGTACTGCTGAGGCCATGGAGTCATAAAAAGTGCAGCCACTTCTGGTCTGATCTGGGCCTAGCCTGTCGCCTTGAGCCTAACTCAAGTTTTTTTTTTTTTTTCAGCTGGTTTAGCTTTGCCTCTGTAGATAAACTTTACTGTGTTACTCTGAAATTAAACCAAGGCTGTAGATTTATTAGCTAGAAACCGAACGCTTGGATATCATTTTGATCTCACAAACATCTTTCTAATAGTATTCCTGCCAGAAGAGCAAAATGGAACCTACCACAGTCCTCACTGGTCCTCTGTCTTCCTTGTTCTGGTTCTTACCTGAGTACTGTTGTTTCTTTCCCTTTGGGTCTTTTCACAGCAATGTGTCTGCCTGCATTGGTGGGGTGGAGAAAGCACAGGAGCACTGCGTATAGGATCCCAGCACAGTAGCAAAGAATCATACAACTGGAAATATGGTATATTTCGGCTTCTGTAGGCTCTCATAGCTCCTGCTGAGAATTGTGCAGAAAGAAACGACAAATACAAGGACCCTGACCCAGCAACTGCTCACTAGAATTGGTTTTTGTGCTGTGTCAGTTTACACCACCCTGATACCTTGTTGGTCGATGTGAGGTGGAGCTCTAAGCCACATTGCTCCTTTCCAAGCTGGCTGCCCCTCAGGCCTTGCCACCAAGGGAAATAGACTGGGGGGCTGGCAGAGGTGGCAGAGCCTAGCTGCTTTCTCTAGCTGCTTTACTCTAGCAATGATCCAGTTGTTCAGTTTATTTTTTTCTACTCTCCTAGAACTAGTCTCATTGCACACACCCCCCCCTTTAGGTCTGAGTTCTAGCTCCATGGGATCCAGACTCCAAATTTCTAAACGGTAGTAATTCTCTTGTCTCTATTCCTTTGTCCTAGAAATGGTAGCTGCTTCCTGCTGTTAGTACAGCTCTGATATTCAGTTGCTTCCTTCTTCAGTATTTGGCTTATTTTTCTTCCCAGTGCTGGACACTGAACGCAGAGCCTTACTGAATGTTAGACAAGTGCCCTACTTTTAAGCCATGGCCCTGGCCCTGGTTCATGTTGTTTAATATTAAATTCTTTACCTTAGAATACTGCTGTGGTTTGGGTTGTTTGACCAGGCCCTGACTGATAGAATAAGTGTTGCTAAGAATGAGATGCTAGGGAGAAAAAACCCTCAAAGAAAGCATTTAGGGCTCGGTTCATTCTTAAGCTCCTTGCTAATGAGGCATAATGGCATCATAACTAATTAAATTGCTACCTTTGCTTGATTATGTACGATAAAATAATTTCTGAAGCAGCTGCCTCAGGGTACCAAGTGGTTAAGGCGCTTGGCGCTGGCGGTAGTGGCCACCTGAAGAACTGAGGGAGAGGTGAGATGAACTTGCAGGCAGCATTTGCACAGAAACCACAAGCCCAGGTCTTAGAAAATTGGATTTTCTGTGGTTCCAAAGCACTTTATTTTGTATAGCCCCTGAGTAAAGCTTCCAAGCATTGAACCCAGTTTTAACTATCCTGGTAATAGAATTTAGGACATCTAGTTAGACACGGATAAAGCTGCGAATCTAGACATCCCACTAGGGCAGTTTGCCTTCCCTGAGTGAAAAAGCTAGCTTTGCCTTGCCTGAAGTTCCTGTGACAGTCTCAGCGAGGAGAGTTGCAGAGGACTGTCCATACTTCACTTAGGTCTTGCCTTTTATTCTGGGACCAAGAGCTCTGATGTTCCAAGGACAGGAGCAAGAATCAGACCTCTGGAAAAGAGCTGCAAAACTTTGTGAGCTACTTAAAATTCTGTCATGGGTTTGCTTTTTCTATTAAGTATAGTTTACAGTCGCTATGGGTTTTTTATTGTTATTGATAATATTTAGAATTAATTCTTTGAGACTGGGCGTGGTGGTGTGTGCCTGTAATCCCAGCACTTGGGAGGCTGAAAGCACGAGAATCACTACGAGTCCAACTTATGTAGTAAGACCCTGTAGATCTTGTACTAAATACAGAAAAGAAAAGAAAAGAAAAGAAAAGAATAAAAAAGAATTATCTCTTTGAAAACTTACAAATTGGGGAAAAATTTTACCCAACTGACCCTCAGACAAAGGACTTCTATCCAGAACATATAAAGAATTTATAAAATAGAACCCTAAAATTTAAAGACCCAATTAAAAAAAGGGCATCTGAGATGAATAGATGCTTCTAAGATGAAGAAATATAAATGGCAAATAAATATATGAAAACATGCCCAACATCATTAATCATACAAGAAATGCAAATTAAAACAACAGTGAGATTACATCTCACCCCAGAAAGAATGGCTCTCATGAAGAAGTCAACCAACAGCAAATGCTGGCAGGGCTGTGGGGAGAAAGGAGTCTTCCTCCGCTGCTGGTGCGAGTATAGACTGGTGCAACCACTGTGGAAATCAGTGTAGAGAGTCCTCAAAAAACTAGGATTAGAGGTCCCATTGGATCCAGCTATTCCCCTTCTTGGTATTTTTCCTGAAGGATTGAAAACATCTTACTACAGTGATATATGTGCACCCATACTTATAGCAACACAATTTGTCATAGCTAAATCTTGAAAACAACCTAACAGGCATGGATCAAAAATATGTGGGATTTTTGTACAATGGAGTACTACTGAGCTATGAAGAAAGATAAACTCAAGGCTTTTATAAGTGGATGCAACTAGAGACCATACTCGTAAGTGAAATAAATCAGGCCCGTGAAATAAATCAGGCCCGCATGTATAAGCGCCACATTGCCTCCCTAGTGTCGGAAACTGAGTCAGTAAGATGCAAAAGGTAAAGTAGACACTGATAAAGGACAAGAAACTGCTCAAAAAGGAAATAACCAGGGTGGGGGAGGGGAGAAATGAAGGAATATATATACAAGATAGCAAAGATAATTATACTAATTTCTATTAGTTTATTGAAAGGACCAACTAGTGTTTCTACTGTTTGAGCAATCTTATACGCCCATACCTGGTAGTCTGAGCAGCTGCTTTGGAAATAGCAACATGCAGTGTAACAACCATTGTTAATTTCTTATCATGTTTCAAAATTCTATACTGTTTCTATATTTTTTATTCTTCCCCCCCCCCCCCCATGGAACCAGGGATTGAACTCAGGCCCTTGCGCTTGCCGGGGAAGCGCTTATTCCACTGAGCCATCTCCCGGGCCCCTGTTTCTATATTTTTTATTCTCCTTAAAATAAAATAAATGAAAAATTCACCATTAGGGGGTGAGGAAAAAAATAGTTTTTTGGTTTTAAATGTGTGTGAGTTCAGCCTGGGAGATAGCTCAACAGCATAAGCACCTGCCTGGAAAGCACAAAGGCCTGAGTTCAACCCCCAGTACTAAGAAGCAAAAACAAAAAAGAATGTGTCAGTTCAGGTACATGAACAGTATATTGCAATTCTGTAAGACCTTACATTTCTCTAAATTCTAAATTAATTTACTAAAATCGTGCAAATTGAGTACCTTAACCTCTTTTTCTGACAGGTTAAAAGAGTAGCTAATGAGTTACGAACTTCACATTGGCATAAAGTGTCAATACTTGCTAAAGCTGTGTTTTGTTCTTTCCTTTCCTCAGGTTTGGTTGGGATGTTCCAGTAATTCTGAGAAATTCAGAAGAGACCCAGTTCAGCACAAGAGTGTTCAAAAAGCAAATGAGACAAGTGAAGAATCCTTTTGGCTTAGAGATCACTAACCCATCCACAGCTTCAATTACAAGTTGGTGCTCTTTTACAAAGATTTCCTCTTACCCCCTGTATTCCTTAGCTACTGAGCAGCACCTCAGGATCCCCTACAGAGGCCAGGGGAGAGGCCCCTTTGGCCTTCGTTTTTGTTTCTCCTTTGCTTTCTCTTTAGACCTTTATCAAACTCTTACTGTGCTTCTGTTTTGGCCCAGGCTCTAGACTGACTACTGCAGATAAATAGATTAAGAATGTAACAGTTTTGTTCTGAGGAATTTATCAACTAATAAACAGAGGCACATACACAGGAGAAGAAAAGTGTCACCAGTCTTCACAAGCATAATCTGTCAGGACACTGTGCCGTTTCCATTGGTCTTCAGTTAAATGGGCAATGACGGTTATCTAAGTACAGTTAATGTAAGGTTGTTGTCTTCTGAAGAGCAGTGATTTTTCAATCTGAAATTTTGGTAAAAGCTTTTCATATGTTATTTTTGTTGATGATAAGAATGGGTGACAGTTGTTTCTGTACTTGGAAAAATAAATTTTTGACAGGACCATTTAGGAACCACTATAGGGAATTACAAAGAAACAAATGGTTACATTTAAGACCTCCATTCAGGAAAAACGTGAAAGAAAAGAATATCCTAAGCCTCATTTTTAATTGTTTTTTCTTTTTGGGGGGAATCCTATTGGTTAAAAAATAAGTATTTACCTCAGATTTGAGAAACTTCTTGGAAGAGGGAGAAGCAGGAACAAAGTTTTGAGAATTAAAAAATAGCATGTTAGAGAAACAAGAAGTCACTTGTTGGGGATACACAGGTTGGATGGGTAAGAGATCAGTCTAGGGAGACTCAGGCTCTCCGCTGGCCTCTGTAGGGAGATCCTGAGGTCCTGCTCAGCAGCTAAGGAATACAGGGGGTGGCAGGATTTACAAGAAAGGTAGTGTGCAGTTTTGAACCTGTGGGCTCCAGAGTGCTGTTGGGCGCATTCAGTAGCGCTCAGAGTAGGGTGGTCTAGGCACAGGGCTGAAGCCTCCAAAGGGCTCTGGGCTGAGACGCGAACCTTTTACTCTTATTACCTTTCAGTATCTTACATATAGATTCTTTTAGCTACTGCCCTGGTTTGCGTCTGTTCTTCTGTCTTCGTTACTTTTCTCGATGCTGAAACAATCCCCAACACCCGCAGTTCAAGGAGGAAAGGTTTATGTAGCTCACAGTTTATAGAGGTTTTGTCCCAGCACTGGCTGGCTCCAAGGCAGGAAGGCCTGGCGGACAAGCATGAAAGATGAGAAACAGTTCATGGCGGGCAGAAGGCGGCAGAGCGCCAGGGCACGACCACAGCTCTTTCCATCCCTCATATCCTGTCCAGGCTGCGTAGGGCGGGCGGCACTCACACGCTCCCTCCTAGCACCTGTGATCCTAGCGCTGCACCATGGATCAATCCCAGTGTCCCACAGTCTAGATCCAGCCACCTGTGCCCGTGTGAGCTTTGGGAACATCTAGACCCGAGTCATAGCACCTTCTCAAGGTAGAAGCTGTGTGCGTCCACCTTCTGCTCTGCTCTTCCCTTTTACTCCTTTGAGCAGCGCAGTTGACTTTCCCTGACACCCCGCACTGCAATGGCTTCTCAAGATCACTGGCTACCGCCTCTATCCCCAGCCTCAGACCGCCAGTGGACATCACTTTGGTGGAAGAATTTCAGGCCTGAGTTGGCATGATGTCTGCAGTGTTTAATAGAGCTGATGAGTCATGGTCCACCTTCCTTAGACCGGTTTTGTTTTGTTTAGCTTTATAGAACTGGGGACTGAACCCAGGGCATTTGTACTGAGCTACGTCCCCAGCCCTTTTAAATTTTTTTATTTTTACACAGGGCCTAAGTTCGTTAGTTACTCAGGATGATGATCTTGCCTCAGCCTCCTGGAGACCTGGGATCACAGGCCCCCTTGCCCAGCTTTGTGACCACTTCTTTTTTTTTTTTTTTTAATTAATTTTATTGAGAAAGAAGTGACCCCTTCTCGGGGCTGGGAAGATAACTCAGTAGAATAGGAGCTTGCCCAGCAAGTGTAAGGGCCTGAGTTCAATCCCCGGTTCTGAAAACAAAACAATGATTGATCTATTAAGATGACAATATGCAATGTATTAATTATTGAAACTGCTGGTAATCGGTTTTGAAACTGTCTCATTGCTATTTGTTTCTCAATAACAAATAGCAATAAATAAATATCCTATTTTGAAAAAAAAAAGAAGTGACCCCTTCTTATCTAGTACAACGAGCCCCCAACTTGGTTGGCAAATCGGATTATTTCATAAGCCCCACAAAGTGAGTCTTACATATTTTGGACATAAATGTTTTTTTCTTTTCTTTTTTTTTTTGTACTGGGATCAAACTCAGGACCTTGTGCTTGCCAGGTGGGTACTTATGCTGCTGAGCCATCTACCTGCCCACAGATACACAGTGTAAAGCATAAAACACTTCACATGTTCCTTGATCTTGTCCTTGTTCTTTAGAATTGCGCCAGAGGTTGAACGATTCCTGTTAAAACAATGAGCAGCGCCTACCTTCTTTTCACCTCAGTTCCATCTCTGTGATTTTCACTTCTGTTACCACCGTTACTGTTCTGCGCTTCCCAGCAGCCCCTGCACATCACCACAGCTTTAGCTCTTGTTCCCGGACACTGGGGCTGTGACGGAGCGCTGCACCACTGTACACTGCTGCACTGTGCAGGGAGCACGCAGCAGCCCAGCTGTGGCTGCGTCGGCAGACACCTGAGCTGCTTCAGTGATTTGTTCGCATCTACAGATGTTCATAGTGTGAAGTCTCTCGCACGGTGAAGGTTTGCAGGGAGAATGTCCATAAAATGCAGTCTCTGTCACTCTGGACTTACTGTCGGAAATTAGCATATTGAGTCACTGTTGCTCATTAACCAATAGCTTGATTCAAAAGGCAAAAAGTACCAAATGTCACATCCTTCCTCCTGAACTGTAAATAATGCACCCTGTGAATTGATATGAGTTCATTCTGACATTGTGCGTCTCAGAAAAGTAACGGTTAAGGTAGGACACAGACAACACTAATTTGTGGAGAAGACAGCAGCCTGTGCACCCTTGATGAACACGGAATGGTGAGGGCTCAGCTCTCCCTCTTTGGCTCTGGACCTGAGCAGGCACAGGGCCCCCTGTGGCCATCGAGGGGCACTGCAAATGAAAATACAGCCAGGAGGCGTCCTTCCTGTGTGCAGTCCACAGCCTGCCAGGGCCGCACAGTGCTGAGAAGTGCTGCAGCGCATGCGAAGCAGGGACACCTGCGGGCCGAAGAGTGCCCGAAGCCCACCAGTGGGCAGAGCCGGCCATGTGCAGCCAGCCCTGCGCGGAGGTCGCTCAGCTGAGCCCACGCAGTGGTGTAGTATTACTTCCGTACACAAATTTTTTTTCAATGTGTACACTGTGGCAATGGTTACTGAAGAACTGTGAGTGCTTATTGTATATTAGCTGTCTTCTATAAGGAAAGTAAGCATTTTGGTGGGAGTTGTACTTAGCAGAATAAAAATTCATTTCTTTAATCTGTGGAAGAGAGGGTGTCATTATAGATGTCTGTACAGGATGCTGAGACAATCTTGTGACAATATTTGTGACATTTTAAAATGTTCTTTCATTTGATGTATTGATAGTTTAGTAATTTGGGATTTTTTTTAAATCACTCTACCTAAAGTATCTGACGTTAGGCAGGGAGGGAGAGAACATCTAGAAAGCTTATTTAACTTGAAAACAAAGGAAAGAATCAGTTTCAATCTTATTTATTTCTGTTTACTAGGAACAGGTTCTTAAGAGATTCTTTATTGTTATATAATGATACTGTGTTTGGATTTGTGTTTCTGTTACCAATATAGAGGCTTTAGTCAAATTTTGCTAATTGGCATATATCTGTTGAATTGAATTAATTTGGTTCAACATTTTGTCATTTTAAGAATAGCTTTTTTGATTTGTAGCTTATTTCTCATGGCAAGAGCTAACGTAAAACTAGAGAACTGAGCAGACTAACACGCATAGCATTCTGGGAGGAGTTTGTACAGTTCTCGTTCCACAATGTAAACTCTCCTCTTCATTATCCTTATGCCCGGTCTCTGTGCACAGCACCTCTCACTCCTTGAGGGATTCGGTGACCTCAAGGCATGTGACTTTCCTCCCACTTACTTGTCTTTTTCCCCAGTGGCTCAATGCATTAGACCTACCCTCGACATTTTTCAGCTTTTTACGAGATTGTCTCATGCTTTGCTTTGTTTGCCTATTGCAGCTCTGCTAAGCAAGAGCAAATCAAGAGCAGTTGCACTATTTTCTTCACTTAATTTTGACTCTGAATTTTGTGCTTTACAGTTATGACCCCATTCTGCTTGATGCTACTGGTCTAAGATGGCCTTGTGTGAGCACTGGAATTTAGAAGGCCAAGATGACGTGAAAGTAGGAATCTCTGTACAAGTGGAGAAAGCTAAGGGGGAGTAGTTTTGGTAGGATGCGAACTACCATCAGGTGACATCAGTCAATAATTCTTTTCTGTAGTAGGGCCAAATTTATGACAGAATGTGAAGAAGGAAATTTTATAGTTCTTTTGATGAATTTCTAATATTAGTTTAAGAGGCCCATGTACATTGATATTCCATTGTCAAAGGTCACAGGCACTTCCTTCCAGTCAAATATACTAAGTCTATAAACACGTGTTTCATGCTTGTCTTATGAGTCTCTGGGCTCCTTCTTGGAGCTCTGCTTTTTTACAAAGCAAGTAAACTTAGTAGTTTTGTATGTTCTGTAAGTTGAGTTTATTTGTTAAGGCTTTTGTCCTGCCTCCCCCCACCATAGACTACCAGCTCTGGAGATTAAACCCCACAATGCTAGGCAGGTGCTCTGATAGCAAGCTGCATTTTCTGCCCCCAGTGTTCTTTTAATTTAATTAATTAATTAATTAATTAATTTAGCAGTACTGGGGATTGAACTTGAGATCTTGAACTTGCCTGACAGGCACCTATGCTGCTGAGCTATCTCCCCAGCTCATTCCAGCATTCTTTTTAAATGTGAACAGATATAAATGGCTGTCCTCTTACAAGATAAGCAGCGTTACATGCATGCATATATGTGTATTTGTGTGTACGTTTCTCTACCTTGATTTTTCATTTAATATATTCTGAAGATCATTTTATACCAGTACATATGCATATTCTAATATGCCTTAAACAAATTATTTTGAGGGGGCCAGGGAGATGGCTCAGTAGAATAAGCGCTTCCCTGGCAAGCGCAAGGGCCTGAGTTCCATCCCTGGTTCCACAAAAAAAATTATTTTAGGGGTAGTGGGCTTTGCGCTCAGAGCCACACACATGATACAGCAAGCGTCAAGGCTGGGGATTATAGTTCCGCATCATGAGTGCCTCAAACCCAGCGCTCACACACCCCAGGCAGGTACTCTGCTACTGAACAGCATCCCTTGCGTGGCCCAATTTTTTTTTTTTTTTTTTTTTTTTTAGTCTTTTTGAGACAGGATTTTGCTGTGTAGTTCAGGATTACCCCCAACTCACTTTGTAGCCCAAGCTGGCCTTGAACTTGCATCTGTCCTCCTGCCTCCTCCTCCCAAGTGCTGGGATTATAGGTACACACCACCACGCTGGGCCTCAATTCTTGCTATGCTGCAGAGTACTTCCTTTTATAGTGTTTATTCACATAATCCCTACTGGTGGGCCTCAGGGTGATTCCAGCTTTTTACTGTGCTGACTTACCCTACAATACATCATCTTCCCACATTGTTGCCAGTAGGACAATAATATTAAAGTAGTTACTTTCTGGGGATATTATTATTATTTTAATGTATTTGGTTGTTACAGGGTCTCGCTGTGCAGCTCGGGCTCAGTGATCCTCCTGCTTTCAGCCTCCCTAGAGCTGGGATTACAGGTGTGCGCCACCATGCCCAGTCTCGGTGGCCAGCTCAGCATGTCCTGGGGGCGGGGCTGGTGTGGTGCCAGGGATGGAACTGCGGTCCCTATGCTTGCCTAAGCCTGCATAAGCAGGTGCTTTAGTCCACTGAACTATCTCACTGGCCCCTCTGGGTTTATTTTTTTCAACTTTTTCATTTTTTTCTTTTCTATTTTTATTTGCTGTCTATGTCCAACTTTTCCTCTTGTCTCATGTTGTGGGAGTCTGCAGGATACAACGAAGCATCAGTGTGATTTTATGTGTGTGTGTATAAATTTGTATGAATGGAGTGCTTCCAGCTACTTAATAGCTAGTGGACTTTTCCACTTTCGAATTAATGCTTTACGATTGGAATCATATAAAAATTTGAAATCAAATTCTACTTCAACTATTTAGGTAGTGTTCCTACCAATTAAAAATGTCCACTAACTAATTAGAAATGGCCCCAGCACTGGTGCTGTGTGTACCAGAATCCCAGACCGTGTGTGCGTACCACCGAATGCGGAGCACAGAAAATCAGGCCTGGGATCTGTGCAGGGCCTGCTTACACGTGCCTGTGTGCCACACATGGACTTGTGATCACGTTTTCAAAACCCAAGTAGTAAGTCAGCCAGAATTTCTTAGCAAGTAATAGAAAAGATCCCAATAAAATGATCCTGAGTAGCTCATAGAATTGCTGGTACATTTAGAAAACAGAGAAACCAAACTCCTCAGCTGGGAACAGTGGCCAGAGCTGTGTGCCCTGGGGTCCAGTGTAGTCACCACTGCACTGAGAGATGTCAGATGTCCTGAGTGGCACTGTCCTCGAACTCAACAATGCCCCAGTTGCCACTAGTGAGGAGGACGTAATCACCTTGGTGACACCGAGTAGGTGCTATATAAATGCAAAGTAACTATATAACTGGCACGTCTGCTTACAATTAATATATCCCCTTTTCAAATTGTGATCTTTTCTTTCATTAAAAACAAATTCACAGGCCGGGGAGATGGCTCAGTAGAATAAGCGCCTGCCTGGCAACCTGAGTTCAATCCCCAGTTCCACCAAAATACCCCCCAAAAATAAAAAAAAATGCACAAGAATGTTGCTGTGAGGCCATCTAGCTTTTGGATTCTGCACTTGCCTCAGGCAATTTTGCATATTACATGAGACATTAACTATATGACAAACTATTAAATGTTACAAATATATTTATTAATATTAGTAAAGCTCAGTTTCTTTTCAATATTTTCCTTTCCTCATGCTCCTGTTCTGGAGCCCATAGGTTATGTGTCCACTTTTGAGGCTGACTGTGCCTGCTATCCTTGTCGCCAGGGTCATCTGCACTGTAAGGTGGGACACATCTTGGAGTCACTGAAGAAGGAAGTCAAACTGATAAATTCTAAAGCTGAAAATGTAAGGAGGAAGAAAGCACAAAAACGGTGGCACTGGGCTGGTGAGATGGCTCAGTGGTCTAAAGCACCTACTTAGAACAAGCTTAGCAAAACATAGGGACCACAGTTCAATCCCCCAGCACCACATGCCAGCCAGCCCCGCCCCCTGGTGGGCTGAGCTGGCCACACACACACACACACACACACACACACACATAAATAAAATTAAAAAAACGGTGGCACCAGTGCAAGTTCGAGGCAGTCCCCTCTTTTCTAGGTGCATAGCCCACAGCTGGCGGCTGTCCACATAACCCCAGGCAGCACGCTCAGCGCCCAGAAAGACGAGGGCTTGTGTCTGCCCTGCAGAATTGGGCCACAGCTTACGGGAGGTGACCTCCATCCCCCCGCTCTGTTTCTACAGCTGGCATAACCTTGACCACAGATTGCCTCGAAGACAGCCGCCTTACCTGCTACTGGGGCTGCAGCGTCCAAAAACTACACGAAGCCCTCCAGAAACACACGTACTGCTTCCGAATCAGCACGCCCCGCGCGCTGGAGGAGGCGCTGTACAGCGAGTATCTCCACCAGGAGCAGTATTTGTATCCTTTGACCTAATGTTGGCGTTAACGTGTGAGAACCAGACTCTCTGTGACTCAATGAAATGGTACTGAGTTGTCCCTTATTTTTGGTGTATTTTTATCCTTTGGCTGTAGTGGCAATTTGCCTTTACATTTTCAAAAAGTATCAAAAAGGACAGCAAAGAAGAAATATATTGCCAGTTACCAAACGACACTAAAATTGAAGACTTTGGGACAGTGCCCAGATCTCGTTACCCATTGGTGGCGCTGCTCACGTTAGCTGATGAGGATGACCGAGAAATTTATGATATTGTAAGTAACTTAAAAATTCTGAAAGCATTATTTTTAGCTGGTTTGGATAGTGGTTCATAATTGTTTTTTTGAAGTAGAAAAATTATTTTAATTTCTGAAGATATGCTTTGGCCTGGCTGCATTTGTCTTGACAACAAAATAGGAAGCGTGCCAGTGTGGTTTTTATAGATGTAACAGCACTCTCAGGGCATGACCTGTTTTTCCTTATGGGTCACCAGAATAGGTTTTGTTTAGGAAACAAAAGATCTGTTATTATTGATAAAGTTAAATTTTTCTCTCTGGTAGTTTGCTCTATAGAAAGTTTGTTGGGAAATGTTTCCTAAGAGTTTAGTCCTGAATAATTAAGTGTCATCGTGGTGACCCAACACGCTCCATTAGAAGACAGTTCCCCCTTCCCTTTGTGTAGCTACAGTCGCTCCGTCTCCTCAGTGCCCTGCTGCTGCCTGCACGTCGGGTGCTTGTGTTCTCAGAGAACACAGTCACCTTGTTTTCTTGTTACATGCTAATGGTTGCCTTCGTCTGGTATCTTAACCCAGCTAGGAGGATAAAAGCAGCTTACAGGCTGAAGAGGGCCTGAGCCTTGGTGAGCGTCCAAGTGTGGTGGGCATTGACACAGGGAGAGCACAGCTAGTGTAAAACTCCGAGATCCAAAACCCTTCAAAATTGAAATGTTTTGAGCACTGACTTGTTGCCACAGTAGAAATTTCCATGCCTGACTCTGTGTGGACTGTCACTGTCAGATGCAGGTGTACTAAAATACTGGATAGGTCTGCTGAGATAGCTCAGCGGTCTAAGTGCCTGCCTACAAGGACCTGGGTTTGAACCCCAGCACCACATGCCATGCCTGCCCTGCCCCATGTGCACCAAGGTGGTGTGGTGGCACAGGCCTGTAATCCTACAGCTGGGGAGGCTGAAACAGGAGGATCACTACGAGTTCAAGCTGCATAGTGAGACCCTCTACCAAATACATTAAAAATAAATAAAAATAAAATACTGGATAAAATGTTCTTCAGGCTCTGCATACAAAGTGTGTTTGAGACAGAAATGAATTGCACAGTTGGACTTGGGTCCTGTCCCAGGATAGCTCTTTTTTTTTTTTTTTTTTTTTTTTCAATACTGGGGATTGAACTCACGACCTTGCACTTGCCAGGCAAGTGCTTATCCTACTGAGCTATCTCCCCGGCCAGATATCTCATTATACATGTACAGAATCCCCAAATCTGAAAACTATCCAAAGTCCAAAACACAAATGGTCTTAAGCATTTCAGTTAAGGGATATTCTCCCTGTAGATGAAATAAACTTGTGGCAAAATTGTAATAATCTATTGGCATAACAATACCTTATATACAATTTACTACATTTCTGAAGTTCTTGGTATAGACTCATTAATAAAGAGTGATAATTTTACACTTTGTGATATATAAAGTGCATTCACTAATGGTGGCTTTTTCCTTCCAACAATCTAGCATGCTAGGGGAAATGCCCTTAGACTGAAGCAGAGTCAAAAATTCCCAGTTATTTCTTGACTTTGTTCATCCCTGGGGATTAAAACCTAGCCCTCATGCTGGGCTAATGTCCTACCACTAAGCTACATCCCAAGTCATTTCTAATCTCTTTAAAAAAAAAAAAAAAAAATCTTCAGTTTTTTGTTTTTTTTTTTAATTTTATATATTTGGTACAAGGTCTTACTACGCAGTTCAGACTCATCGTGATCCTCCTATTCCAGCCTCCCCAGTGCTGGGATTACAGGTGTCCACCACTTTGTCCAGTCTTGGTGGCTGGCTCAGGGCAGGGCCAGCACAGCATGTGGTACTGGGGATTGAACCCTAGTCCTTGTGCTTGCCTAGGCAGGCACTTAGACTCTGAGCTATCTCTGCGACCCTAGTTTGCTTGTTTGTCTGTTTGGTAAGTACCAAATTGAAGATCTGTGGAGTCGAAGTCAGCTTTTCCATTTTCTTTTCAATTCAGAGTTATGAAAGCTGGGCGTGATAGCACACACCATGACCTCACAGTCCAGAGGCTGAGACAGAAAACTCGCCTTGCCTTCAGGGTTAGCCTGGGCTACAGAGTGAGCTCAAGACCAGCCTGAGCTCCGCAGGGCAACCGTGTCTGAATTAAGAGTTATGGGGAAAGGAGGGGAGGATGGGGATGTAGAGGTCAGAGGGTAAAAAGTTGCATGCAGTGAGTCTAGAGACTTCAATATGAAGACTGATTAGTAATATTATATTGACTTCTTTCAATAAAAGATAAACGTCACAGAAAAAAGAGTCACTGAAATGATGGCCGTGTTAATTTGCTTGATGGTAGCAACCCTTTCACCATGTAGAGTGTATGTATACCAGGACATGTTCAATACCTTCAGTGCACACAGTCTTTAGAATGCCACACCAACGGGTGTATCGCCTGGCACCTGCAGAGGTCCAGTGGAGGTCGGGCAGGTGGGAGCGAGGCATCTCGACAGGCAGTGTTAGCTGCTCTGCTCACACCGGGCGGTGAGGGCCCTGCAGCTGTGTGCATGTGCTGCCCAGAGGAGCGAGCAGGTCTTCTCCTCCCCCCTGCCCCCAGCTGCAGATAAGTGGGACCTGCTGTGTTGGCCTGCACGGGTCTAGCCTCTTCATCCCTCCCCTGCCCTGCTGGCCAGGGCCACCCCTCCCGCTGCTGTGTCTGTCGCTCCTGGGTGCCTTGGCTTCTGGTTCTCTGCTTCTCTCTATGTATTGGAACTGAACGGTCAGATCGCGTCCTCTGGCTTCCTGGTCCCCTGGAGGTCTCTTTCCGAGTTCAGGGCTCTTTCTTTGTTATCCAGCTTTCTTCCGGCATCTGAACAGGAAAAACTAATTCTGGGGGTGGAAAGCTGTATTCCTGAATAAGTACCCCTTTAAACTTTGTGGAGTGTTCTGTGGTGCAGAGAAAGGGGAGGGTCCACTGGCCCCACCTCCACAAAGGTGTCGTGGCCAATTCTTTCGGGGCCTGGTGCCCCTGTCCTGTTCTTTGCTGTTTCCCTATCTACATCCCTTCTGTGTCTTATTCAATTTCTGGGCTCCATCTCCTTTTCCTGTTGATCTTTGTTTCTCCTTAACCTCCAAATTTGGGGCTAGCATTTGCACTGAAGCATACTTGTTGGTATATTTTATATCCGGGTTCTCTGTTCATAATTATTTATTTATTTTTGGGGGCAGAACCTGGGATTGAATGTAGGCCCTGCGCTTGCCAGGCAAGCACTTATTCCACTGAGCCGTCTCCCTGGCCCGTTTTGTTCATAATTTTTATTTTTATTTTTTAATTAAAAAATGTTTTTGAGACAGGGTTTCACTATGTAGTTTAGGCTGCCCTTGAACTCACTATATAGCCAAAGCTGGTCTCAAAGTCAGCAATTCTCTTGCCTCAGTCTCCCAAGTGCTAGGATTACAGGCATGTTCATAATTTTCAAAGTAAGCTACTTGCTATTTGCTTTTCATATGTGGTTTTATCTGCATTTTATTGTGGGGTCATAGATCAAAACAAAACAAAAACAAGTTCTATTTCCATTATAACATGAAAGAGTTACCTAGTCCGGTTAGGAGCCAGTTTGTTGTTTAAAAAAACAAGAACTGTTATTATATGATTTTTATTTAAATTTTTTTTACTGAGTTACGTTAGGGTTTTCTTTTGTATTATTTAAAGACCATATTTGTGGCAGAAGAACATTAGGAAATTAGACCAAAAGAAGGGACACAAGTCACCTGTCTTGTGGAGGCCCTGTAGGGTCATGCACAAACTGCTTATTTGTTTTTTAATTGCCCATTTTTAATATTTTCTCGTTATCGCGATGGTTGCAAAGTGATGGCTTTTCCAGCCTAGCCTCCTCCTGGTCTGGCCCAGTGAGCTATGAGCCAGTGGCTTCCCCGCGGTTTCCGTGTGCGTTTGCTTCTCTGTTATCTCTGTGGCCTCAGGAGCCTCCCTGTCCCCGCCCCTCGCACACTGTACAATGCGATACTGCATTTGATCATATTGGTGCCCAAACCCTCTTCTCCCCACCTCCTATGAGATAGCGCATTTATAGCCAAACTGTGTATTTGGATTTGTCTCTCAGAAATCAGAAATCTGGCAAGAGACCCTTTGCTGCAGTCCCACTCGGCCAGTGCATAGCCAGGTCCTTGGTTTTTTATTGCCCCTGCCCATCTCTGTGTGCCTCATCTCCCTTCTCTCGCATGCAGAAGTGTTCCTGATTTTAGAGAAAATGCATTTAGTTTCCCCCCATTTCATATGATGTAGGATGTGGGTTTGCTGTAGATAGCCTGTTATATTGATACAATCCTTCAGTCTGTTTTCTTCAGGGAAGAGTGTTGAATTTGGAAGGATGTTAAATTTTGTCAAAGCCAATACATCAGTTGAGATCAGTATGTGGTCTGTACCCTTCATGCTATTTTTGTGGTGTATCATATTTATTGATTTACATATGTTGAACCATCTTTGTATCCCTGGAATGAAACCAACTTGATTATGCTGTATGAGCTTTTCTTTCTTTCTTTCTTTCTTTCTTTCTTTCTTTCTTTTCTTTTTCTTTTCTTTTTTTTTTTTTATGTATTTGGTACAGGGTCTCACTGTACAGCTTGGACTTGTAGTGATCCTCCTGTTTTCAGCCTCCTCAGCGCTGGGATTACAGGCATGTGCCACCATGCCCAGTTTCAGAGGCTGGCTCAGTGCACCCAGGGTCGGGGCTGGCACAGCATGTGGTGCTAAGGATTGAACCCTGGTCCCTGTGCCTGCCTAAGCAGGTGCTTAGTCAGCTGAGCTGTCTCACTGGCCCTTCCATGAGCTTTTAAATTTGTTGTTGAATCCAGTTTGTATTTTAAAGAGTTTTTGCATCTACATTCATTATGTATAGTGGTCTGTAGTTTTCTCTTTTTTGTTGCTTTGTCCTTGTTCAGTTTTGGTATCAGGGTGATATTGGTCTCACAGAATGAGTTTTCTATCACATGGGTAGTTTGAGGAGCACTGGTGTTCTTCCTCAGATGTCCGGTCCTGGGCTTTTCTTTGTTGGTAGACTTTTTATTACTGCTTCAATCTCATTGCTTGTTACTAATTTATTTAGATGTATTATATGTTGTTGACTCAATCTTGGTAGGTCTTATGTGTCTAGAAATGTCAGTTTCCTCTAGATTCTACAATTTATTAGAGTGGAGGCTTTTAGGATAGTCCCTACAGATTTTCAAGGTTTCCATGCTGTTTGTTGTAGCATCCCATTTTTCCATTGCTAATTGTATTGATTTGGGTCTTCTGTCTCTTTCTTCGGCTAAGGGGTTATTAGTTTTGGTTATCTTTTCAAAGAGCCAACTCTTGGTTTCACTGATCCTGTGCATTGCTCTTTTACTCTCTCTGTCATTAGTTTTCATTGTTACCTTGATTGTTTCTTTCCTCTTGCTAGGTTTGGCTTTCATTTGTTCTTGTTTTCCTAAAAGTTTGAGTTTTATTAGTAGGTTATTGACTTGGTATCTCTGATTGTTCTGATAGAGGCCCTCCCAGCTGTACCTTCCCTTGGCTGGATCCCAGAGATTCAGGTGTCTTACATTTTTCTGATGTTTAATTATATTCTAATTCTCAATACCTTTTTTACTGTTCCTTTTCTGTGTGTAGGGTTCAGTGTGTTCTGCAGTGCTGGCCAGGTAGTCATGAATTCATTTCATTGATGCTTATCTTGGAAGATGTTTCTTCTTCAATCTGGAAAGATGCTTTGGTTATCTTTTCAAAGAGCCAACTCTTGGTTTGGAGTTGGAGGGTGGGTAGAGTAGTTTAGGTTGGCAGTTACTGTCTTTCAGGGCTTGAAGTATATCATTTCATGGTCTCCTAGCCTTAGAGTGTCTGCACTTAAGTGTGCAGTTATTCCGCTGGGTTTACCACCATTTCTGACATAGCATTTCTGTCTCACAGTTTTGAATATTCCTTCCTTGTTCTGTATTCTTGGCATTTTAACTAGACTCTGACCTAGCTCATGTTTGTTTAGGGGTTCTGAGTCCCTCCTGTACCTGGATGTCATACCTTATACAAGATGTGGGAAGATTTTTTTGTTTCACTGAGTAGATTTTCTGTGTCACTAGTTTGAGCTGCTGCACCATAGTCTGCTCTAAACATTCACAAATTCAGTCTTTTAGCTGCGTCTCAGACCTCTTGGGTGTTTTACTCATGACTTTTTTTCATTAATAGCGTTTGAGTGTAAGAATTCTTCAGCCTTATCTTGAGGCCCTTCTCATACAGTTTGACAGCAGTAAGCACTGAAGTATGTGAATGACTTTTGACAAGTGTGACAATTAGAAACATACAGCTATATTCAGGGAGAAATAGTCGCAAAGCAAACTGTCTGAAGACGTACCACTCTCAGTGGTAACCGAGGGTACTGCCTTTTATTCGTGGTCATCTGAGTTCTGTGACCAGTGCCTCAGTACTGCGGTGAGGATCAGAAACCCAACGGAACATGCTGTGTGCATCTTTCCAGGGCTGAGATCCCAAGGAATGTTATTGTTTGCAAATGCAGATGTGCAGAAAGACCCTTTCCTCATTTACTGAAGGGTTTCAGTATTTCTATACATAATGTTTTCATTCACAAAGTCCATATTATGAAAATATACTTCCAATGACTCAGTTTGCAAAAAATACACAAATAATTAGAACTCTCCAAAAGGGCTTACATGGTTAGACCTCCAGTACTGGAAATGATGTAAAGGTGAAGTACACAGTGTAGCTAATTGTAATAGTCATGCTAACAATTTAAAATAATGGGGAAGTGGCCAGCAAGATAGCTCAGTGGACTAAGCGCCTGTTTTGGCAAGTGCAGGGACCAGGGATTCAATCCCCGATCCTGCATACCATGCCAGCCTCACCCCGGGGGCACAGTGAGCCAGCGGACAAGTCCGGGCATGGTGGCGTACACCTGTAATCCCAGCACTAGGGAGGCTAAAAACAGGAGGATCACTACGCTTCTGAGCTACATAGTGAGACCCTGTACCAGATACATTTAAGAAGAAAGAAAGAAAGAAAGAAAGAAAGAAAGAAAGAAAGAAAGAAAGAAAGAAAGATTTTAAATAATAGGGAAAAATTGGAAAAAAAAATCATTCAAAGTTTGACGTATAAGAATATTACAAGGATAAGTTATGAGCTGTCACATGAAGGTAGTCACAAGGGCCAGCAGCCTTTCAGATTCTGACTGTATTTTGAAGTCATTAATGTCAGTTGTGTTTCCTTCTAGGGAATGGGTATCTTTGAAGAATGTATTCACATTCATTTTCTCTGTAGTGCTTAGGTTTTTTTTTTTTTTATGATTGTATATAGGCCATAAGTGTTCACATTTATGTTGGTCTCTTTTTTTGAAGAAGCATTTTTTAATGTCTGTGAAATAATATAAGAATCTTAAGGACTGACTAGTGTTGAATTTTTCTTTTAGATTTCCATGGTATCAGTAATTCATATTCCTGATAAGACTTATAAACTTCCCTGCAGAATATTGTATCAATATTTGCTCCTGGCTCAGGGTCAATTTCATGATCTTAAGGTAAGTCATGCCTTATCTCTGTCTCTCTTGCTTGCATGGTTTCAGAGAATAGGTGTTTCTAAAGCAGTAATAGTGCTTCTCCGTTGTCATGGACGTAAACTGCTCTTTGCTCTTGGACTTGCTAGCTCATAAATTTTAAGTTGTGCTCATGACCTCCAGGCCTAACGAGTCATTGTTATTTATAATTATCTTTACACTTTTTTTCCAGCAACTTTTCATGTCTGCAAATAATAACTCCACTGCCTCCAGCAGTCCCTCACCAGAAGAGAAAAACGCGGACCGCAACTTGCTGGAAAAGGCTGGACTGGGTGAGAGTGAGGTGGAGCCGGCGGAGGAGAGCAGCAAGGACTGTGTGGTGTGCCAGAACGGGGGCGTGAACTGGGTGCTGCTGCCCTGCCGGCACGCGTGCCTGTGCGACGCCTGTGTCAGGTATTTCCAGCAGTGCCCGATGTGCAGGCAGTTCGTACAGGAGTCCTTTGCGCTTTGCAGTCAAAAAGAGCAAGACAGAGACACCGTGAAAGCTCCTTGAAGGTGCTGTTGCCGCTGAAAACTACACTTTCTACCTGAGATGCAGATGGCTGTATCCTTAGAGTTAATCCGGATGCAGGGTCAACAGTATTGACCGTCAAAGAACATTCTCGTCTTGGTTGTATTTATGCAATACATGGACCGTGGGAGTGAGTGGCTCCCTTCTCCTCAGTGCGGTGAGCCCGGGAATACCACAGAAATACAAAGAGCTCACAAGAATGTAAACATTGAGCTTGGGATCACTAGATTTCATAAAATCATTTGGAAAACTCATTCTGAAAAGCAATCTGTCTGAAATTTCAAAAGCTAAAATTCTCAAGATTGCTGAATATTTTGCTTTCAACATAATGTGGAGTGGAATTTGGAAGAAACGTATTTCTCTTTAATTGTATGTTCCTCAGTTTATAAGCTAAGCGTTGGAAAGGACTTCTTCTTTGAATCCTTTCCTGAAGTACGCTTTTATAAATATCAGTCTCTTTGGTTTGTAATTTCCTTAACATCATAGTTACATAAGCACAAGTCTTAATTTTTAAATATAGGTTGTTAAATCATAAATGCAAAGTATTCTTCACTGTTCCCAGTGTATCACACATTAAAATAACACTGAGCCATAGGTGCAGATATATAAAACCCAGATAATAAAATATCTTGGGTAATTAAATTTATCAGCTTGTTTGTTCAAATATTAGATTAGCAGAATTACCAGGGAAGATCTGAGAGACTCTTTATGCCTTCCCTTGGATTTCCTCCTGCAGAGCAAATTTATTCACAAGAGAAGGGCTTTTCAAAAAATCAGTAAAAGAAATAACATTTTTTCTAATGTATTTTTATTCCAAATCCGGTATCCCCCCTGGACTATGAAGTACTTCACTTTTTTCCTTACAATGTTCTCTTGAGAGTTGAGGAACTTGGCAGACAAGATGTCACTCTCCAAGATGACGGAGAGCAGGGCTGGTGGTCTGTAGCTCGCCCAGGTTCACCACCACTGACTTGGCATAAAAGGGAAAAGTGAGCTTCCGCTGCCTTCTTGGAAGATAATGTTCTGCTCACCGATAACGTGGACCAGGGCAAATAAACTGTAGCACTCAGGGAGGGTTTTCAAGCCTTCTGTCCTGTTTGTATTCAGAGTGACCTCTTCCCTTTGTCTCTGTGTTTTCACTGTCACTTCATTCTAGTCAGATCCTGCACTTTCAGGTGGACATCTCAGGTTGGGGATGTCACTCATGGCTGAGCTCTTGCCTAGCTCGAATAAGGCTTCAGCCCTCAGTCCTGTTCCCTTGCCTCCCAGTCTGTTCTTCATGTATAAACCAAATCAAGCTTGACCCACACTCAGTAACTATGTCATAAATAACTTGTAGGACTCAGCTACAAAGGGTCAGGCAAGACTTGTCACCTCAAAGTATTTGTGCATGAAAGGAGCCTTGGTGGCTGGTTAGAAACACCTCCTCGCCGCCTGGAAGTCACTACTGCCCCTGCCTGCGATCACTAGCAGTGTAACAAGGAAGCCTGAATACTCACGTTAGCCTGTAATCGGGATCCTCCAGTCCCTTCTTCCAGCCTGGCCAGGCCATCCTGCCTTCCTTGGCAGATCTGTCTGTGCCTCAGCCATCCTAGAAGCCTCACTGCTTTCTCCTGGGAAGTAGATTTTAGCAATTCTGTAATCCTCCACTTGTCATAGCTCATTTTTATAACTGGTAAAATATTTAAACCATAGGTTTTAGCACTTTCACCTTTCAGGTGTAAAATTCAGGGACATTAAAATACATAATTGTACAGCCATCACCAGGATCCATTTCTAGAACTTTTCCATCCCAAACCGAAGCTCTGTGCTGCAGGGCCCCAGCTCCCACCCTCCATCCCCGCCCTCCCGGCTCTGGTAACTGTCATTCTACTTCCTGTCCATGAACCTGGCCGTGCCAGCCTCCCCACACAAGTGGAGTCATACTGCATTTGTCCCCTCCATGTACTTCACTGAGCATGCTTTCTAGGTTCCTCCATATCGTGGCTTGTGTCAGAATTTCATCCCTTTTAAAGGGGAATAATATTCATTCAGGTACTATTGACCCGATACTTTTCATTCCTCCTAAAGACAGTATGTCCTCTGTTCTTGCTGCCATTAAAGGAATTGGTTTCCCTGCACAACTGTAATATGACAGATTTGGTAAACAATCACAGAAGAACAAGTACAAATGGCTCTGATTTAACAATGCTTCTTTCTACTCAACATTTTTTCTACTTAACATTTTTCAACTTTTCAATGTTACAAGAGTGAGGCACATTCAGTACCAACTTCAAATTTTATTTTATTTTATTTTATTTATTTTTTTT